AATTAAGAAAAAAAACAAATAGCAATAAAAAAACATCCAGAAACACATGGCTAGATGTCTGTGTAAAGAGATTAATTTATTAAGCTACTATTAGACACTACTATTACAGCTGTTAGGGGCACAGCATTGGGGGGTTTAAAATCCTGAAGAATTCTAGAATATTTTACAAAGCATGGCACAGAGTACCACACAAAAAGGTCCGTCCTTGCAATTAACTCAAGAGGGTTTCTTAAAAACGTGTTCACAATTTCATTTGAATCTCAAATTACTATTAATGTTGTAATAAGGGATCGTGTTGTAAGCAGGATATGAATAACTTGTGACTAACAGCCCTGCTGTCATACCGGTTACGACTGTACCGATGAGATTAAAAGAACAATGACTAATAATGCAAGGTGTATTCAACACTGCCCATTTTCTCCCTCCCCCCCTGCCTTTTTTTAAATATACATCTCTCAGTCTAGGTAATAACAACCATCACTGCCCAGTTAAGACTGGCAAAATATAGTGAAGGAGGAAGTCTAACCGGTCTAAATTGGTATTTTCTGTACAGAAATATTAATAAGAAAATCCTTGTGGAGTAAAAGTTCCTATAATCCACAATCATCCACAACTGATATATATCATCCATCATCAATAGGTAAGAGAGACAGATGTTGAACGCACTTAGAATTGTTCATTTAACATCCTTCTAGGATTTTTTCCATCTAATATAAACATGTAGTGATACAAGATATTTCAGATTTTAAAAGTCACTAGTTTTCCCTCCTCAATTTCTACTTTAGAGCTGTCAGGACTTTATTTGTACCATGATGAGCACATCTCAACATCTAGAAAGTGATAAGTTAGAGAATTTTAAATTCTACTACTCATTTATTCATATTTATTTTCTTCAAAACTGGAATTTAGTCTCTGAATTTAAAAAATTTTAAAAATCTAAAACATGAGGAAAATACAGCAGACATTCAATAAAAGGTCCCAGGAAAGGTTGTTAATTACATTCAGGACTGGGTTTAAAAAGTTCCCAAATTGCTTCACAGCAGCAATACCATAAGAATTGTAAAATTACATGTCCTAGGAAACTATAAAGCCAAGTACAAAATGACCCAGCATCAAATAACATCCTGCAGACTCAGTATATTACAACAACTACAACTAAAAAATACATTCTTCACACACAGAAATTCTTTATCTCCAAAACATTTCAATGATACAGTTTTAAGAATGTTATCGCACCGTTGGGAGGTTCAGTGTTTTGGCTTAAGCACCACCCTTAACATTATCAACATGTCTGCTGGAATCAACATCTGACCTCAAATGCTCAATTAAAAATACTCAAAATTATTACTAAGAACATGATGCAGGATTGAAGTATGTGTGATTTCCCTGCAGGTAAAGTTTATCTAGTACCTATGTTGTTTTGCGGTCTAGAACAAGCCTCCTTTCTCAAGTATGGTTTCTACTATGTTAACAAAAAGCTGCAACACATTATGGCAGATATTGTCATGAATAAGCAGCAAAGTGCAAAGATGGTTAAATGACATTATTTCTTATAGTCAGCCAAAGAAGAAAGACTGTGACACAGGGATGTAAGCAGATCCATACAAGTGCACAAAGCCGTCATGTACAGGTCCAGAACCGGGACACTTTATATATAAATATATAATAGTGTTTTATTCATTATTTAATGAGTTAAAACCCACCTTGAAACACATCAGAGACTACATTACATTAATAGCCAGACTACATCTATTCTCTTTCCTTCGACTGTTTTTTTCTTTCATACAGTATCTGTACATGACACTATGTACTGGGGGGTTTCAGAGGAGGTTGCACTACGGTCCAGTGTTAGAAGAGAGAAGGCACCCATGGAGAAGGAAGGGGTTACTCTCGTTGGAGAATCAAGAGCCTTTACTACAGAAGAAGGAAAGGAGGTGGGCCTAAAACTGCAGAGAAGCTAAAGGTTACCTCAAATAAAAGCTGCTTACCTGATTCGTGACCTGAAAGGAAAGCAGAAAACAGAAAGGCGTTAAGACCCTCATTTAGATCTGCGGGCTAAGACCTCCCCCGTTCTCTGCCCCCCACCAGCCCGCGATGCTGAGCCCGGAGCGGCTCCGAGCCCTCTCCCCTCCTCCATCCTCCCTCCCTCCCGCCAGCTGCCAGCCAGCCCGCCCGCCCTCCCGCGCACACAGCGGCTCCCCCCCCGCCCCGAAGCCGGGCACTCACGTCGGGGTTGGCCTCCAGGGGCAGCCAGCGATGGGGCTCCATGGCGGCGGGGCGGCGGCTCCCGGTACCGGCGCGGGGCTGAACCTGGCGGCGCGGCACTGACAGCGCCGCGCGCCGCCTCGCCTCAGACCTGACCCGGGACCGCACCACCGAGACGCGCGGGAATGGGGGCGGGGGCGAAGCGGAGGAAAACAACTCTCCAACGCCCCCACGCACACCTCAGCCGCTGCGGAGCGGCGCTCACGGTGAGGAACGCCTTTTTCCCCTGCGTTCTTCCGGGTATTAATGGCGCAAAAATTCCCCCCTTCCCCACTCTCTTGTCTCTTACCCCCCCCCCCCCTCCCCAGGCAATGGACTCTCCCAGCTGGGCAGAGGGTGGAGCCTTGGCCGCCGCGCTCCCAATCGCCAGGGCCCCGCACGGTGTGCCAGGAGCCGCCAGGGGGCGCCCCCGCCCCCGCTAGGAACAGGCCCCGCCCCCGCCCCCGGCGGTTACCTGGCGCTAACGCGCAGCCGGGCCCCTCGGAAACGACCTCCGGCAGGTAGTGAGGTGATTCAGAAAAGCTAAAAATACAGGAGCGCGAAATTTTTTGGCCCCAGCCCGCCCCTATCGCTTCTGCCCACCGGCCGTGTGCTTTCAGCGGGGGACCTGCGACAAGGTGTTTGTGGAAGCCCAGGAGCTGGAGCTCCAGGCCGACCCAGCACCGGAGTGGAAAGGCCTGGGGCTGCAGGAAAGATAGAAACTGTGCCAGTTTACAGGCAAATCCGAGTCCCTCGAGAGAAGGAAGAAGTAGAATGTGAGTGACTGGGTGTTTCTAGGTACGGTGGAGATGGGAGTACCACAGCGCCAGGCAGCCAGAAGGGCAGGGTGTTGGGGGTACCTACGGTTGACAGCCCAGGTACTGGAGAAACCCCGTTAATGGGTGACACGTCCTCCCATCTGCCTAAAGCTTTGTAAAAGAACTTGGTGTACTTCTTCAGAGAGCATTGATGCAACTCTCACCCCGTTCTGTGAATGTCAAATTTACGCAGTGGAGTAAATTACTTAATGATGTTCACATTTTATTTCAGCCCCCTGTAATCAGCAGGACTACAACGGTGCCTGTGCCTGAAGCTTCTGTATTGACCCATCAACAATACTGCAGTGTATCTTGCCAGCAATCCAGTCTACTGGTAGCTCACGAGATTTGTCTTCCAGTTTCTATACCAAGTTCTCAGTCCTCACCTAGCTACAAGATGGGCCTGTGCTGCCAGATCACTATCACAGTCCCCACTTACCCTCCTCTGCCACAAAAAGCTTCACAGAGCACACTTACAGCAGGCAGGATTTTCTAAACATACAGTTTAATTCTGTGGATGGGCAGACGAGCCAAAATCCTTACATACTTCACCACCTTCTCTTCCAAATTTAAGGAACTAAACACATTTACACATTGATGAAAATAACCCCAAAATAACTCAAAATTTCAGCAAATGATTCTGTAATTACCAAACCACCAAGATATCCAACTTCAAAACTATCTTCACATCTTAGAGAATTAAAAGTAATGTAATGAATATCAGTTGTAGTGCTAAAGGCACTACCAGGAGACATGATGAAATTGTAATATAAAATAATATGTAAAGTTCTCTAGATAACAATGTAATAGACTTACAAAAGTTAAGAACAAAGAGAATTTTAAGTCAAGTCCTTGCTATCAGAGGCAGATCTCACCAGTATGTACATTGCTGGTGTTTTGATATTCATGTCATGAAAACACATACTACTCAAAAATATTTGCACACTTAATTAGATACTTTAAAAAGGGAGAGGCCAAGATCAAACAAGCTATAGATGTATAAAGCTAGTAGACACTTACCACATTCCATAATAATTATCCTTCTCCTGAAATATATTCTAAATTCTTTAACATTTATTGTAAGTACATAATTTTAACCTAGCCAGCACTAGTACATGAGAAGTTACGTTTCACTATTGCGTTACAGTTTTACAGTAGATGTACTGAGATTATAACATTACAATATAAAAAAAGTAAATGTAAAACTTATGACTAGAAAAATCTAAGAATATTAGCTGTTTTTAAAAGGTGAAACTGGTGAAGGATCAGTGTTGTTTTAGGGCTCCTGCTACACCCCAAACTCAAGTTCAGTGTGAAAAGCTGACTGAATATGGTGCTAGCTGTCGTTTTACAAATACAGCTATTTTACCACAAAACCGAGGACATAGCTGATCGACGCAAATCATCCACAACTGCAGAGCTTACGTGTAGGTGTACGGGCCGATTCCCCAGTCCACCTGCGCGCAGGACAATCGCTCCACGTACCGAGTTCGGTACACCTTCCGTGCCGCACACGCACAGCTCAGCGCGGGACTCACGGACCTGAGACTGCAACAACGAGCACCGAGAAACCCCTGGCGCCAGTTACCGACGAACCCCGCAACCCAACACCTCGTTGCGCCAGCTGGCGGCGACTCCAACCGCCATTTCCAACCGCCTTCCCCAGGCGGTTCTCACCCGTCCCAGGGGGCCCACGGGCCGGCCGCAGGCGATGCGGGGGGAGACCCTGAGCCCCCCCCGCCCGCAGGCGACCCTCTCCCCCTAACAACCGTAGACCCCACTGCCTCTTAAAACGCAGCCCCGCTTTTAGTTGTAGCGATTTAAGAAGCGATTCACTTCGCGCAGAACGAGCCGCCGCCGCCAGAGCGAGGGAGGGACACCGGCCTGCGCGCGAGCGGGCTCCCGGCCCGCCAGCCAATACGGAGGCGGCTCGCCGGCCCTGCCTCGTTCCGGTATCGCCGGTAGCCAATCAGGGCGGCGAGGGCTGTGTGGCGGAAGCTGGGCCTCGGCGGGGACGCGGCGCCATGGCGGGCGGCTCGGCGGCGCGGGGGCTGCAGGCGCTGGGTGAGGGGAGATGGGGCCCACGCGGGGCCGTGGAGGGGAGTGCGGCCGGGCCGCGGCTTGCAGGCCCTCCCCCGCTCTCCTGAGGGCTTACCCAAAGGGGCCGCCGCACCCGGAGCCACGGGGTGAGGCGTTCCTCCCGGTGGGCAGGGCGCCGGCCTGAGGGATGGAGAAGCGAAGCCTCCGGGAGGGCAGCGGCCCTCCCCTGCGTGCCCGGCTGCCCGCGACGCCGAGGGGCTCGGTGCGGGGCCGGGGGCGTTGCTCGGAGCTGGCAAACGGCAGTTGCACAGGCTCAGCCTGGGGCTCTCGGGCCTATTTGGCTTTACTTGGGATGCTGAGCAGGTTACGTTAGTGTCCTTCGGGACGAGCTCCCTTAGAGAAAGCTTTGGTTTTATGTAAATATGTGCGTGATTACCTAGGAATTCTTCAGAAAAACACTAGGTTTACAACTGTAACGTTTTAAGGATTTGCTTCTGATTGCAACCGCTTGTGTATTTCAGATGTTAGTGGTGCAGCAGATAAGATTAATTTAATACCGCAAGACTTTTTTGCAGAACTGGTAAGTAGGGTAATAAATGGGATGTGGAAGGGCTCCTGGCACTTTTTGATTCAAGGAAACCACTTTATTTAAGGTCTTCTGTTTTTTTGTCTGTTGCAAAGGGAATGTTATGGATGTGGTAGCTTAGATTGACATGACTTGAAATGGGCCAGTTTTGCTAAGAGCAATGGGATTGCTTTAAATTTATGTTTTTATCACAGAAGAGTTTAAAGAATGTATTTTTGCCCTTTCAATTAAATAACATGTCAAACTAGCTTGTTTGGAAAATGTTCAGCTTATTTACTGTGCTGTGCACTTTAACATGGCAGCTGTTCAGTTAGTATGAAAATGGTGTGTTTTGTAGGAATAGCTAGTGTGGTAGTAACTAAAAGTCTTGAATGAGTTGATTTGCTTTTCTTGGATTTTATGTAATTTTAAAAGCAGTCATTTCAATGACTTTATTATTTGCTCTTCATTTAAGTCATCTTCCCGTTGTATATTTTTGCATTAACCAGTTTTCTTCTTTGTTTTGTAATCTCCGAGTATGAAAACTAGCTTTGTCTTGTATATTAAACTATGCATTAATAATATTTTCAAATTTACTTTCTTTACAGTGTGAACAAATAATTCAACATCTGAACCATAAGATCCCAGGTGTAAATACAGCTGAGCTGTGTCAGGTAAGTTTGGATACTACCACTTGTAAGCAAGTGTATTAGCTATATATGCTGTAAATTATACATTCTCTGAGTCACGTTTTTTGTGTCTGTATCTATACACAAAGAGGTTTTTATTAATGCATAGTTTATTATTTGTTGTAATTGTTTGAACATTCTGTTTCTAGAGAATTCAAACGTCGGGGATTGAGATTAATGTTGATGACCTGGCAAAAATAGCTAACATTGTTTCTTTTCTATTTAGGTAAGCACAATATAATTTACCATGTCTCACATCTTTTTCCCTCCACCCCAAATTAATAGTGGTATTAAAAAGTGACATCAAACGTGGGTGTAAAATTACTGATTTGAGAAAAGGGCTGAAGTTTGTAACTCTCGGTTCGCAAAAAGGAACTTCTGGGCTTAGTTGAAGTTCTTAAAAAATGTGTAGTTACTTAATATATAGTCTCACTTTTTGTATCAAAAAAACTAGGAGGAGGAAGTTGTTCTCAGATCCTGTCTGCAAGCTTTAGAACTACTAGCAAAATAAAAGGAAATTAAGCTCAGTTCTAAAGCTAAGTCAGCTAGGCCTTTGCCCGCAAGAAGTGAGTTCTAAAAACTTCTTGTTTCTCAGAGAGTAGAAACCAGCATTTGTGCCTGTTTGAAGGGCACGCTATTTTATAATGTTGAGCTCTGTCGTGATAGAGGTGGAGTTTTTAGCTAGTATTTTCAGCTCTTGTTTAGCTGTAGTTTTTTTTTTTTATTTTCAGAGATAAAATTTTCAAGATCTTGCTTGTTCTTTTAATATGTAGTATCTAAACATTTTATGTAACATGAATATGATTGAAGAAAATACACCAGTAGAAATCTAACATACTACATTTTCCTCTATAAAATATAAAGCCTTACATTATATTAGACCATGCTGCTTAGAGACATTAATAAAAAAAAGGGTTGGTCCTTCAAGAGGAGTAGATCTGCATGAACAAACCTTGGGTGGGAATTTTTTGTAACCTGTTTCTGTAGAGGAAATCAAGTGGCAAGTTTCCTCTAGACTTGCTGCCTTTTCAGTTGTGTTTATTGCATCATTTGACTCCTGTTAGTACCAATTATACCATCACCTGGAGGTCTTTACTTGCCTTTTGGTGATACTTAAATTACCTCTCCTAAAAGTTTAATTAAATTGTCTTGTTTCTAAATAATGTTGTTTAACTGCTATCTGCACGTCTTTTCAGTGGATTATGCATTTTTCAATTGCAAGAGCACTTGAAGGCTGTGATTATTTTTGTCTTAATGTTGTGTGTTGTGCAAGCCCAGCAAAGCTTGCTCTCTGCATATTAAGACACATTAAAAGTCAAGTCATGTTTTTTTTTATCTGTGGATACAAAAGATTAGTAAAATATTCTGGAAAAAAGAAAAACAACCCACAGGCTGCCTAATTATTGTAAAGTACATAGACACATAAAGCAGAAGTAAAAAATTGCCTATTTGAGGGTGAAGTGAGGAGTTTTATTAAGTTGGTGGAGAATTAAACTGATGCAGTGTTCTTTGGCTACACCTATAGCACAGCAGCCAGAAACAATCTCTCTACAGAAGAACTCATCACCACCTTGGGCAGTGCAGTGAGCGTGCTGCCAAAACATGCAGTTCAAGTTATTCGTCATGTATGGAATGAAGAGGGTAAATCGATTGGTGTTTCAGAAGATGCAAGAGATATGGCCACAGTGGGGCAGGTAACTAAATGACAAAGTGCAGTTGAACTATTAATTTTCCAGAAATGTCAGTGCTTCATTGTGTACGTTGTGTTGTCAAGCACATGGTGGTATCTCAGTTGCTGAAAGTTTTCCTATATATATGTTGCCAAATGTCTACCCAGTTAAAGAATCATATACAATAAAGTTTTATCTAATGCTGAACAGTTTTCCAGTATTACCGTTTGGATGATAGTCACATTTCATACCTTTTTTAAAACTTAGTGCTTCATAGTACTATTAGGGAAGGCAAGTGGCAGTCAGTGTGGCAGACAATTGTATTAGCAGTTTATGTAAAGCTGTTTTAAATGTAATTTGCATTGTTCTTTAGAGTTGGTAACACCAACACTTGATTGTTTTCTTCTTTGTCTCCCTTATCTTTAAAAAAAATTTAAACTTGCTTTCTGTCAATTTCTAACATTCCTTTTTTACATTTTGAAAAAATAACACAGTGTATTTGCATTTTAAGATCTTGTTTTCTAACAACAGTTTAAGAGCACAGAAATAGGGGAAAAAAAAATCTTTGTCTGAGGCTTGATAATAAGCTTATAAGGGCTTTTTTCATTTCTTTATTCAACAGTTCTGCCTACCATGAAAGGCTAACAATGGTAACTTACCCATCTGAAATGTATTTATGATGTACTTTGATTTATATAAAATACAGTTATGAAATGCCTTAATTTTTTTCTATTATTGCTATTATAATTTTTCTTTTTGCACTGCCTGAAGTTTTTCTCATGTTTCCACTTGATTTAGAAGATTTAGAAGCTTCTAAAAAAAATAAAATTACAAAAGCACAAATGATATACAAGCCAGGTAAACTCTGTGGCTCAAGCTCCTCTTACTAGAACTTTAAGTAGACCATATTTGACTATTGACAGTACTTGAAAAAGGAAAACAGATTAAGTAACTTACTAAATTGTTTATTTTTTCCACTATTAAAAGGAAGAACAGATGATTCTGTATTCCCAGTAATATCTGAATGTGTATGTTTGTTTCACATTTGGATATGAGCTCTAGATGTCTATAAAACATCCATCCAACAAAACTGTTTCCAACTATTTTTCTTCTTTGTAGTTTGTAGATATTAAATGGAAACTGGGAGTTGCGATGAGCTCCGACAGCTGCAGGTCTCTGAAGTATCCTTATGTTACAATGACAATAAAAGTTGCAAACCCTTCAGGACAAATAACAGACAGATCTTTTGAAATGACGATCCCACAGTTCAAGGTTTGTAATCAGTCTTACTTGATTCAGTCTCTTAAAAGCAACAGTGATATTGTGAAGGAGCAACTGTGTACCTTGACATATACATTTATGTTGCTTATTTACCAATACAGTCATTCAGAGGTGAAGTATTAAATAATTATTTAAAACACTGATGATAAATACTTGCTTCATAGCATTTAGTTCTACATCACTATCAGAAAAGGTTAATTTAGCAGTAATTAATCTGTTCTTTTAGAAATAAATTAACTGAAGATGTAAAGACTTTTGGATCAATCTTGTCAGCTGTCACTCTGCCTTATTAAAAATGTATGGAATATTCTAAATCTATGGAACTGTGCCCCAGCCTCAAAATCTAAAACTTGAGTTAAGCTTTACACTTGCTAATAATTAGGAATGGAGGTCAGTCTGCTTTGTTATCACTGGCTCTTAACTGCTATGCCTTCATCTATGAATTTACGTAACTTTGTTTAATTTTGCATAAGTGTGGCATTTCTGTTGTCAGTCCTTTTTAAAGGGCGAATACATCACTTAAGAGTATTGTACAAGCTTACAAATAAATAAATCTTTGGAGTTGGGTTGGCAAGAATTTGAGAAGCATATTTTGAATCCTTAGGTATTGTGAAATGTTGTATTCATTCTGGCTGAAACCTGTTTAATAATTTGCTCAACTACTACAAGAAATGGATGCTACACTTGAGAAGCCTGGATGATTTCAGCTGGGAATAGAAACACTTATGTGAGAAGGTCTTTTGGTGTTTTGTTTTGTTTTTTGTTGTGGTGAAGAGCTACTTTTCTTTTATAGCGTCTTCTATTAATAGGCAAACCCATGCAAATAAAGCCTGTGTAGCTTTAATAGTGAATGTGTCCAAATGCCAATCAGCTCACAAAAAGAAAAGCACAAACTTACAGTTTAAGCTGCAAATTGTAACTGGAGGAAAGAGAGAATGTAAGAAGCGTGGATTGTGGGTTTTTCCTAACATGCTAGTTTGAAGTACAGTTTGAGCTTTTTTCCAAGCAACTGAAATTTATCTTTACTCTTTCTTTTCAGAACTTCTTCAGACAGTTCAAGGAAATGGCAGCTGTTCTTGAAACAGTTTGAAGAGAACTCTTATTTACACTGAATTTTGGACAGACTTAGATCAAGTAAACTTTCTGTTCTGCACAGGGAATAAAGTGCCATTGTTTGACAAGGTATGTATCCTTGTCTTTTGAACAGGTATTTGTCAGCATCATCCTTGCATTGCTGTGAAGGTTTCTTCACTTTTGAGTGCTTGAAGCTAACTCTGCAGTGTTTGTGAAAATACGCTCAGCTTTGTTCATCCTGGTAGACAAACGATCAGGATGTGAATGGAGAAGCATCGCTGTAGACTTTCTAATATCCAAGAGTAAGAAACTACACATTTAACTCTGTAGTGCAGAAAGACACCTGAAAATGTTGACTGGGAAGATAGAGAGAAGTGTAAAATCCCATGCTAACACTTTGTCTGTAAAATTGAGATGCACTTGAACTCAACAATATTATTAAGTATAAGGAATATATGAAGTTACACGTAACAAGCATACAGTTACTCTTGAAGAATATCGATGTCAAGTAGTTAGCTACACATATTTGCAGACCTGGCTTCCAGTCTTCTTTTAGTAACTGGAGAATGTGCTTATCCTAACAGCTTTATTATTTCAAATACTTATTTCCTACCACTTAAGCTTATAAAAACTGAGTTAATGTATTAAGCTTTTCTGGAGACCCAAAATGTATTCTCTGAAATGAAGCCCTGAGGCTAATTTTAAATAAAGGTAGACAGGTGAATTTAATTCAAAAGCACTTTAATATATTTTTGCTTTTGCATTTAATCCAACTCTCATCTGTGGCATTCTGCTTGATGTTTTGATTGGCAGTCTGCTTTCTAATTAAATTAGAATATTGGTGTAGTTGCCTCACTCCAAGCTCTGAACTAGAAGAGTCAAGAGGAAACTTGAAAATTCAGGCTGGAATGTTATCCAAGCACATCAGAGAAAGGACTACACTGAAAGTCAGCAAGGTTTCTTTGCTCGTTGTATTGTGTGGCAGGAGTCCACTGGTCACTTGCTCTCAGAGAGTGTCCTAACCAGCAAAATTTTAACTTTGATTCTGAAGAATGGGGGCTTTTCCAGAGGGCAAGTGATAAACCCAGTGTGCTTGCATGCTCTTTTTTTTTGTTGTTTCGCTTTTTCTTGAGTTTTCCATAAACAGAATACAAACTGCAAAAGTAATGGGTTGTAATAAAAACAACTGTTGCGTTTCAGGGTGTGCTGGTGGTGTAGTAGAGCAAGTAAATCTGGAGAGAGATGATTCATACTGATAAGCAGACTGAAGTTTATGCTGCAACTTCAGAATGGTAGAGACTGAGAACCAGTTTTGTTGGGACAGATCCTCAAGTGATTTCAGGCCCCCTTAAGGGACAACACCTATCTTTCTAACCCACTTACGTGGGGGTTTTTTTAGTAACTTTTTTAGAAGCTGGCTGAAAGTCACAGATTCTGGTTATGCCTGCCTTTTTGTGTCATGAAAACAGACTGCAGCACGTTGAGTGTATTGCATGCAGCAACAGATACACCCCCACTATTTGGGCATTACGCATGGTGCATAAAAGCAGTACTTGAGTTGCTTAGAAGCCTAAATAAGCAAAACAGTGTTGGCTTTAACAACAGATAGTAAAAGTTTCGTGCTGTGGCCATTGCTCTGGATGATACTTCCTTTGTGCTGATGAAGTCTGAAGAGTTTGCTTTGTGGCTGGGGAGAGGAGATTACTCTCTTATGGGGCCCTCAACAGAATGTCACAAAACGGTTTCAGGAACAGACTTACCTTTTCCCTTGCCTGTATGGAAGGGCTCGGGTCTGAACATAGTACAAATGTTCTTCCCTCTGTGGAAAAGTGATGTGAGCAGCTGTTTTTTTGTTGGTTTGTTTGTTTTGTTTTTTTAATTTGCACAAGTTGGAGTGGAAGGCTAAGTATACTGGAAAACATTGTCATGCTTTGGCCTAGTAAATGAATTGGTTTACATCAGTGCCAAGAGTTCCAGAAGAATACTTTTTTAGTAAAGCTGGAGCCTTACAAATACTTTGCATTTGTTCTAATGCACTTAAGTTCTTCATATAGCTTGAAATATTTGTGCCTTCATTGGAACTTGATGGGAAAGATTTAATTAATGTCTTAACTTCTAGAAACAATAGTTTAGTAGGCAGTGGATGATAATGATGAAACTTTGTTACCATTTTTGCTTGGTCCATCACCAAGAGGAGACAGTTGGCAGTCTTTGTTACATATTGTGAGGTCAGATATTCTAGAAATATTAATGAATATTTTTGAAATGTCTCTGAACTCCAGTATGTGTTAACTCTGGAAGATGCCTGGGCATGATTGTTATACCAGCTTACTGTCTGAGAATTTTCAGAGGTGTTTATGGACATCTAGGAGATGTGATTAAAAGTTGGCTATGTACTCAAACTTCTGAGATTTGTCTTGATCACTATCAGTAGGAATTCCTGTGCTGAGTAATGGAAGAATTAAGTACTTTAATAACAGAAAAAAAACCCTAACAATTTGCAGGGTAGCAATATTGGCATGTTCAAACAAGATGTTGAATTGTCTATATGTGCAGAAACCAGATCTTTTCAAAGAGAATCAGGAGTCCCTGTGTGTTCTTAATCCTACTTGTTGATTGATATGAAATTGTACAACATCAATATTTTTGTAAGTCCACAGTCATTAAACATATAGGTAACAAAGATAAAAATTGTCTGTATTTTGTTTTAAGCCTACTGCATGAATGTGTCTCATAAATAATATAAGGGGTAAAGTTTAGGACTAGACTGACAGAACTTCTTTCTTTATTAACTTAGGATGAAGTTCAGACATATGCAGTCTTTCTCTGTGATGGGGTACCAAGGAGCTGAGAGGTAGCTGCAGGCTACAAGAAATATTTGTATCAATTACTTACAGCTAGACAAAATGCTGTATTGAACCAGGAAAAAACAGAGAACACAGACTAATGAAATTTTGCAGGAAATTGCATTCAAGTGGTTTTCTTTCCTTAACTGTATTTAGGAGACAAGTAAACAATTTTTCTTTTCAACATTTTCCTGGAACAGAGCAAGAGAAAGGAAGAGGGTCTTAAACAGTAAGCAAACCCAAGGCACGGAATAATGAAGGAATCTTCTGACAATGACTGTCCTCTTCATCACGACCTTTTTTTTTTCATTAGTTTCAAAACCAGCCCACTCGCAGAAAGCTGTTTGGTAGAAAAATGGAGATAGACCCACAGAAAGATTGCACAAATAGCTGTAGTCATACCTGTATACTAGTGCTTTATATATTCAGCTTGTGCACACTTTAGCCTAGTCATGGTCAAAGGAAAAGCATGTCTCTGTTCCTGCTTCCACAAAATTGTACTGCCTTTCTTTAACCACATTTTAAAGGTATGTAACCTTGTTCATTGTGAGCTCATCCCACTTTATTTTCTACCGTCCTGTTTTCAAACCTTTGTACTCTATTTGAACACCTGAAGATACATTAGCTTGGACCAATTAAAAACAAAGCTAGAGAGATGATAAACTAGGGGAGAGGAAGAATATTGTTTCTTCTTTTTGTTTGCCTTGTTCCCTATCATATTTGAACGTTTTATTACCCTCCTAACTGTGGGTATAGTGAGAGGGTAATTTCCACTCCTTTGCACAGGCGTGCAGCGCTCTGTTTATTCTAGTACTGGCAAGAGCTAACACACAAAAATGCCTGAGATACTTAATATACCTGCAGCAAAAAATGCCCCATCTCTGAAGAACCTTTGCAACGGCAGGGGAGGGACTTGAAATTCAGCAGCCTGTATCCTATCCAGTACTCTGTGGTTAATCACGGTAATGCTCATTTCCCAGACAGATTTTCAGTAAAATGTTATTGCTGCTTGTTGGGCTGTTAGCTTACTGGGTACTCACTCGATTAAGCAGTTGGATCTGTGCAGGTCAGGACATGACATGACGAGTGCTTCAGCCTGGGTTGAGCTTGCATGGTATGCTGCTACAGTCCTCCCTTCCTGAGGCTCGGTCATCTCATAAACAACTGGATTTGCTTGTTGCTGTTCAATTTTGCTCAAATGTTTCATTTTATGATGCAGCACTGTCCATGTATGCTCATCCAGCTCCGCTCATGGTGCTTGAGTTGCTTGAGCGCATGAGGAAGCATGCAAGGGATGATGCTCAGCACTCCTCATACCCAGTCCTGGATGCTTTGAAAGATTTACTGACTCTCATTTCCAGGACTTTTCTGAGGGAAGGTGGAGAAATTACCTGCCATTCGATCTGAGTTACTGGGATATCTTTGTTAATTATTTATGACTTTGTGTCATTGAGAAAGTAAGCTGAGATTGCAGATCTTTTCCGTGAAGGCTAATTTTAGTGTTTCTGGGTTTCTTCCTCCCTGTACTGCATTTTCTTCCTATGGCTAATTGCAGTCTAGCTGCCCTAACTTGAGAATTTGTGTTTGATATCTGTAGGTGGCATAGTTTCCAAGTACTCTTCTAGTGTTTACGTTAAAAATGTTGTTATATAAATAAATTGGAAGTTTTAGTGTTAGTTTTGTACTTTACATACTGAGCTTTGGAACAGTAAGATTTAATATGCCTATTAAAAAATAAGGGGTATTCCGTTATTTCATACAATAAATTTCTGTGCTGTCTTGTATTTTAAGAGGAATTTGTCATACCATCGGTCACCAGGTGGCACTGTTACATATAGTCTTGATACATGGTAATCATTTGAGAGCATGTCTGACAGTGGGATAAGGACTCCTGGTTTTCTCCTCTGTGTAGCAATTGCATTTCTTTATCCAATGTTTTCATGCAGTTTAACCACTCTAAAATCCTTCTTCAGTATTCTGTTATGCAGCCTAGCTTTCAGTGCCTTTATGCCACACTTGGGAGTATGCTTCTCTGCCTTTGAAAGTGGTCCTGTTGCTTCATTCCCCTGTGAATTACCTCTGAATCTGAAAAATAATGCTCCAGTGTTCTTGGTACTACTGAAGCTGCAAAGGATTTTTCTGTTCCCCATGAATGTCTTCACTGCTGTGTCTTAGGCAGTTTACAGGTGGTTGAAAAAAAATATTTATCTGAGACCTTGGTCTATTTAAAGCAAGACAGGCTTCCTTCCCAGCAATCCTTCTGAACTGGCAAGTACTGGTTGCTGCAACTGTGCCTGAAGCTTGAGAGGGGTGTTAAAGTTGACATTTAAAATGAGTGGGGGAATCTAAGTGTGTGTCTTGCATGAATCAACCCTGTGCTGCGCAATGCTGCTTCTCTCAGTTGGGAATGTGGGAAGACAAGAGATGTTCAGCAGTCAACAGAGTCAAGACAACAGATGTTGGTGTACCTAGGAGTGAGCCAAGGATGATTAGAAGTAAGATTAAGGGGTTTCCATCTGTTCGGGGTTCCCATCTGTTTTGGTTTCGGGTTTTTTGGGCAGCTACACTGGCACCATTCTTCGTATTGAGTTGGGATTACAAGTGCCCTGTTGTTCATGGTAAACTGTACGTTTTCTTACCAGACATACAGTACTGAGTTGTGAAGCTGCAATGACATTTTAATAGTGATACACTGTTGAAGTCTTAATGGTATTTGTATTTTCCTCTTGCACAGATATAATTTGTGACCTTTGAAGTTGAAATACTCTTGCCTTCTGAAGCATCTCTCTTCCGCATTATTTCTGCACTCTACTACTGATGTGCTAACCTTTCTCACCTGTGGTTCATCCTTTATAGTAATATACTTGTGGAATAGTATCAAGATGTGCCTTCTAGCTTTGGCAATGACAAGAAATTCTGTTTGTTTCCACTGCTGGAGACTTGGAGTAGACCAGGATCCCTTCCAAATCACAAAACAAGGTAGAGATAGTGGACACTGTCAGGGAGAGAAGTAGACTCCAGCAGCTGCAGTAGTCTCTTCCTCATTTTTTTCCTCTTCTTTGTATGTTACTGCAGTGGTCAGGGAATAGTAGGGAAGTAAATGTCTCCTTTATATGAAAGCAGAAATAACTGGGAATGTGGAAGTTCTTGTTGCAGATGTTGCTCTATCTCCTGCAGTAACTAGTTTTACAACTGGCCTGAGCTTCTAACAGCCACCACACTCTGTAGTGTCTCAACAACAGGGATTTTAGTAAACTGATCTGATAACCTTTTTGGGGGGAGAAACCTTAAAAAAAAACAACCAACCAACCAAACAAACAAACAAAAACAAACAAAAAACCAACAAAAAAAAACAAAAAACAAACAAACAAACAAAAACACCAAACCAAAACCAACTACCAAAAAGCCCAACAAATTGCAAATGTTTCCACCTGAAAAGATGCTGTAATCACGTGTAAGCACACAGGACTCAAGATTAAAACTTAGTTTTAAACAAAAACCATTGTTCTTCACTGGATTCAAAGTCTGCTGTGTCAAAGTTTCATGGGATGACTGTTACATGAAAATATGACAAAAATATGAGTCTTTACACAATCAAATGCTTCTTTGTAGAGAAAAATGATGATTCAATAAATTGTGTGTCTTTATTAGTGCTACATTAAATTGAATAACAGTACACTGAACACTGACAGAAAATGTGATGGGTCGCCTTAAATTCTAGGGATGTTTATGAAATTTCTAGTTAGGGATTATTCTCTTACGAACTTTGCTCATTCCAGTTCCCCTAAATCTGTTTTGGAGTGGTTCTTACTGGCAGAACAAATTATAATCTGTCATTACGATCAAAAATGCTTAGTGTCATTTGAGAAGGAAAAAAAAAAAAAAACAAAAAACAAAACAACCAAAAAAAGCACAACAAACCACCCAACCCCCTATCAGATTAATTTTTCATAATTTTTAATGTGTACAAATTGCAATGAGTGTCTCCTGCTATTGACATGTCTCTACAAGACTGATACGTCTTACTCAAACCTTTGGCAGTACATTTTAAACTATAATAACCTCTATACATCCTGCAAAATACACAATTTTCATTATTTCTAGTGATGTTTTTACATACCTAATAGAGGAGGCATCAAAGTTTCTCTAGCAGCTAGAGTTTAAAACCTTGGTAACGTGCACGTTCTACTGAACTTACTTTTTAATACTTCAATTATATTTCCAAAAGTTGATTCATCAGAGTCTTCAAATAAGACTGGGTAGTTTAAATTAATAAAATGTTTTCTAAAGTAAAAATGTCTATGTCTCAGATCTTACTAGAAGGTGATCTGAGAGTAAAATAAAATTTGACTAGTTAAAAATAATGCAAATATGGTACTGGGCCTTGAAATCCCAGAGAGCTAAGTGAGAGCATTCTTAAAAAAGCAGTAGGATGAGAAGCAATTCCAGCGACAGGGCATATTACTGAAATAAAGTACTCTACTCCAAGTTGATAGAAGTTATGCATAAATTAGGGGATTGTAAAGTCAAGTCTACAGCTCCTCTAATAATATTTTTTCTGCAATTAAAATTGTGGCTAGAAAGCTTAAGGGGATGTATAATTACTAGCAATTAACAGTCTGATCATGTGAGATGCTGAGGTGTCTCTGCTCCTTAAGAAATTACTGAGAACTGTGGTTGCTTACCATTTTGCAGGTTTAAATCCTTTAACACTGAATATGAACTGATGATCCAGATACGGCATGAAACGGTTACTGTGGTGCCATGCGCAGAAACAGTATACATTATCAAGGTACTGTCTTAATGAACAAAACGTACTTCCTTTAATAAACAGAAGGAAATACA